TGCATCCCTGCCCCGTGTCTCGCATCCCTGCACCCTGTCCTGCATCCCTGCACCGTGTCCTGCATCCCTGCACCGTGTCCTGCATCCCCGCACCGTGTCCTGCATCCCTGCACCGTGTCCTGCATCCCTGCACCGTGTCCTGCATCCCTGCCCCGTGTCCTGCATCCCTGCACCGTGTCCTGCATCCCTGCACCGTGTCCTGCATCCCCGTACTCGCGGTGTTCTCTTGTCCCCCGCCCCACTTGTCCCTGTGCCTCCTGCCCGCGGTGCCACACGTGCTCTCCTTGTGCCATCAATGTCCCTGCCCGGAGGTGTCCCCACCCCACCCATGCCCCCCCCGGGTGCTCCCTGCGTGTCACCAGAGCCAGGAAAATCCCGAGGGCTCTGGGGCTCCTGGTGGTGGAGAACCCCTGGCACCCCGTGGTCATTGGTGACACCTCGTGACAAGATGTCACCCAGCTCCCTCGGTCCCCAGCTCAGTTTTGTGGGGTGAATCCAAGTGAAGCAGCCACAGAAATCCCAGAGCTGACCCCTTACATGTCCTGGGAGCACTGACCAGGCAGGGAGTGACCACTGGACACTGTGGCTGGCCACGCTGCAGGCAGGCATGTGGTCAGAGCCAGACACTGTCACGAGCATTTCCCTCCAAAACAAACAAATCCGCTAAATAAGGGCTAAGGAATCCCGAAAACTTCCTTTTAGCCTGACAGGAGATAACGCTGCCTCTGGAGTTTCATTTCTGCCATCCCTCTGAAGCAACGCTGCTCTCCCAGAGACACATCTCACTCTGCTGGCCATGGGTGCTTGCAGAGCTGAAATCTGTGGTTCTTAAACTGCCCTGTAGCACAGAAAGGGAGAAAATAAAGAATTGTTTTGGCCAGGTTACCCCAATGGCACCAGCAGCAGCTGCAGGTCAGTCCCTGGATGATGGATCCCTGAAGGATGCAGCTCTGTGGTCCTCCCATGGCACAGCAGTGCCAGACTCTGCCTTTTTCAGCAATTCAACACTTAGCAAATCTTGTTTGTAACTCATCAGCTCTTGGGCTCTGATGAGTTTTCGTGATTCTGCCTCATTTTTCCCGCAGTACTGGGGTGCCAGGACAGGCTCCCCACTGTCCCCTCTGTCCCCACACCACAGCTGGCTGTCCATGTCGTGCTCTGCTGGGGGTATTTATAGAGAAGGGAGGAAGTTCTGTGGTTTAAACCAGAGGGGCAGATGAGGTACTGGAATCAGGAAATGAGATTAAAGGCAGTTTCAGGGCTATGAAGTGTCCATCTCAGCAGGGACCCCCCTGCTCGCTCTTCCCACACTCCACCTCTGCGGAACAGGAGCTCCAGAAGTCACCCCACTGCAGACATCTGGGAATGCAGGGGCGCTGGGAGGAGCTAATGACCTCAGCTAATGACCTGGAGCTTCCCCTGCCCCTAAGATAAAGAAGATAAACGGGGCCATCACTCCCTCCACACACACCCGGGCAGAGCTGGGACCTGCTGGGCTCGGTTTGTGCCAGCGAGGCTGTCACAGACCTCAGCCTGGCAGGGCTGTGCCTCACGGGGGCTCAGGGAACACGGGCTGGGTGCAATATCCATTCCCACCCTCTGCCCCAGGCCAGCAGCACTCACCTGGCAGGGAAAACACAGCCAAGACCTCCTGGAAAAGCAGGGAAGATGCAGCACTGAGAGTGAGGAGCACAAGCAGAAGGAAAAGCAGAAATTTTGGGAGCTACACCTCATCCTCAGCTCCCTGTTCCCCCTTTTTTTGTAAGAGCTGATGTGACAGCTCTGGGAAGCACTCGAGGTGTCAGGCAGTGACCAGGTGAGTTTACTGGGCTGTTTCTGAGTATTCTGACACCAAACCCAACAAATTTAGTCCCCTATCCTAACAAACATATGGATATTGATCCTCCAGATGTTCAGCCCCAGAAGCAGAAGCAGATTTGGGGATGTGAGAGAGACAAAAGCCAGTTCTCTGCTTTGCAACAAGTGTTTTATCCAAGGCATCCCCGTCTCTGGCAGCCCCTCTCCAGAGGATTCTGTAAATCTGTGGCTCAGGGTGCAGGGATCAGCCAGCCCAGTTTTTACAGCTCGATATTTTGCCTTTGTTGATCTCTGTTCAAAGAAATCACAGCCTGGGCTTGGGTTAAGAGGCTGAGCAGGAGGAAGCAGGGCAAGGCTGATTTTTGTTCCTTGATTTTCTCCCTTGATTTCCTCTTTGGCAATCTTTGCTCATATTTTAGGTGTGGCAGGGTGGGCCCAGGGCTTGAGATGATTTTTGTCTTTGACTACACAGCCATGGCCCTCAGTGAGTTGGACAAGTGACCACAGGTTCAAAAAAAAAAAACAGGCAAGAATTTGCCTCACATAAAAATAAATTCCATTACCCCAAGTCTCACTGGATTTTGATATCTGCTTGACTTTACTTGTGCTTTTGAGTAATTATTAGATTTCCATCAGGTTTGAGGCTTCATATTGGAGCAAATACAACACCAAACCTCTGAGATGTTATGAACACAGTTCAGTTTGAATTTTTTTGGAGGGGAGAGCCCCAAAATGGCTCTTTCTGGGCTCCTTGGGCTTGCAGGGTATCAAAACCAGACAGATCTCATTTGTTTCATGGCCCTGGTGCTTTGTCATCACGCTGATCTTTTCCCTTTTCATAATTGGATGTGTGCTCCCTCCTCACTGAGTGACATTTGAAGAGCAGACTGTGGGATCAATGAGAAAGCAGGGCTGGGAGAGAGAAATAATCACTTTTATCAGCCCAGCTGACATAATTGGAATAAACAGCCGAGCTTTTGGGCATGGAAGACTTTCCTGAGGACTGCGAGGAGCGGGATGCTGGCCTGCCCAGATGTTTATCACACTCTGGAATTAGGCAGCCTGGCCAGATCAGGCTCTTGGTGAGAGCATGGAAGTGACAATCCTCAACAAAAACAGCGTTTGGCGGCAGAGGAATTTGTGCACTTGCTCTGAATGCGGGGAAGCTGCGGGGAGGGTGTGAGGAGGCAGCAGCAGGATGCAGAGAGCAGGGAGGGATCACTCCTCGCAGGCTGGGAGGCTGCAGAAGGGGAATTTGTCACACATGGCAGGATTTTGAGTGGCTTCTGCCCCATCACCCCCACCCAGCAGCTCGGAGGGGACACAGCCAGGTGCAGTGGGGTCACCTAAAAGCAGCCACAAATTCCCAGGAGCCCTGGCTGGAGTTGCATACTCATGGTGCGAAGCCAAGGCTGATTCCAAGAAAAATGCACCAAATTTTAGTTGAATTTTAGGTTCCTTCTTGTTTAAAACCTTTTCCCTGCCTTTCTCCCAAGGTCTTGAGCTGCTCAGACAATTCTTAGTATCATTAAGCAGGAGGTAAATTATGTGGCACCTGCACTGGTGTAAAGCTCTGGCTCCCATAAATAGCGGCCATGGATACAGGAGATATTCCATGGGAACAACACAGGGAGCTCTGCCCTCTCCACCTCTCCCTCCAGGAGGGTCTGCTGTGCCCCCAGGGTGAGTCCTGGAGCCGAGGACACACGTCCCTGTGTGCAGGGAGGACAGACCTCCACCTCACTCCTAATTTTAGAAGGCTCCTCCATGAGCTGATAGGAAAAGGAACTCCGGGTGCTGGAATATGTGCGGAGTCCAAGAGGAAATTTGGTTTTTCCTGAGAGCTTTCTTATCAAATCTGCCTTTGTATCAAACCCAAAATAGCTGAGTGGCTGCTGAGCTTAGCCTCAGCTCCAGAGGGGTGGATTGAGGAGGAATTGCTGTAGGGATGTTCTTCATCTGGGACAAACCCAAGAGGGTTTAATTTGGTTTAATCGCTTTTTCCTCCTGGATCCCATGGATTTTAGCAGTCATTGTGCCCACGATTTTCTGTTTTCCTTCAATGAAACACAATCAACAATTCCTTATTTCTCCAGGCATATTAAGAGGATGTTCACTGGTGTCTGTTCTTTTGGAGCAACTTCACAAGATAAAAACTTCGGGTTTCTCTGTGGCTGCAGCATAAAGGGTCCCTAAAAACCTTGCTGGAAAAAGAAAATAACTGTTCCAAAGTGGCTTAGGTTAATTGCTGGAATTCTTTGTAAAGCCCCAGCCTGGCTGTACCGTGGGTTTTACACAGACACTGGACAGTTCCAGTGGGAATTATCCCGGGAATTTTGCTCTGAGTGTGGAAGTGAATGGATGCCCTAAAAAAAAGTCACCGGCTGAGTTCTGCAAGATTTGGGGACCAGAGGATCCTTAAAAAGTGACTGAGTTTGAAAAAAACCATCAGACTGAGAATCCTGGACACAGCCACCCCCAGACCATGCAAAGACAGTTGTTTAATTGGCTGCCATCAACTAATTTGCTTAATTGGGGGCCAAGTCTGGTGACAAGAAGGGTGGGAAACACAAATTCCCTCTTCTCTTTCCCACCTCAGCCTGGCCCTGATCCTTGCTCTGGGGGAATTCTTCAGCCCATTCCCACATTTTATATGTTTTATATGTTTTATATGTTTTATAAGTTTTATATGTTTTATATGTTTTATATTTATATGTTGTTTTATATATTTTATATGTTTTATATGTTTTATATGTTGCTGTAG